GACTCAACGGCACATAACAACAACAACAAACAAGTTCGAAAGTTTGGAAAACAAATATTTTAGAAAAATTGTATATCAATTTTTTTGGCCTGGTTCTTTTGGTGGTGGTTGATGGTCTGCCTTTTCCTCATCTTTAGTCTCTCCTTAAAGCTTCCTTCCCGTCTCACAGACTGGCCATTCTGCTCTTGACACACAGAGGCCCCCAGCAGAGGATCTTCACAGAACCACTCACAAGCTGTCCTTGGCCTCTTCTTGCCCTACAGTAATATGAAAAGCATTGAGCAAGATCTGGTATCTAAGTCCTTCAAGTACAAGTGCACGAAGGATGGAAACATTACATTTATGGAACATTTTCATTTGGAGGAGGCTTTAATATTCTTAGTATGTAAAGCAGAACACTAAAATAATTTCCTTGATGGTGATGCTAAATTACTATTTCTTTAATTCCTGCTTTCTCCACCCTCTGCTTGCCTTGGATACATTGCGTCAGAGACTGCAAGCCTTTTCAGAAGATGGGAGACCCTTCTCATCATTAAGATCCCAGATCAAATGTCACCTAAAAAGTCAGAACTCCTTCAGACCACTTCAGGGTGAACGCACCTCTTATTTTCCTCATATTATTCATCACAATCTGACAATAAATTTTATATTAACAGTGATCATTTCTTTTCACTTCTTAGCCTTGCCAATGATGTCCATTTTACCCTACATTCATTTATGTAGAGCTACTTGTACCTGCTACACATTTTTAGGTAAGCTGTAAAGAAAAAAATACAGCTACACTCATTCCTTCTTTGAATAATATGCAAAACAAACATTAACAAAAATTGCCAAGCATTCACAAAGTCTATTACAATATACCCGTTTTGCATCTCAGAGTTCTGGGTTAGACAGAGGTCACAGCTTATGGTTGTGTCCGTATCTGAACTTAGTTGGGTTCTGTTTGATTTACACAAGATTGAGGAAGAGAAAAGCAGACTCTTTTATGAAATTTTCTATTCCTAACTCTCCTTTTTAAGCAAATCAAAATCCATGTCAACAGGAATTTCCAGTGGGACATTTGGCATGCCGTCAGGTGGAGGACAGTCCCCTGTCTCTGGTCTGCCACACTGCCACCAGCCGGCACTGTGTCTCCTGCAGAGGCCAAAGGGCAGCTGCCATCTTCCCATCAGCCTGCGTTGTTTTTCTTCCAGGAAAGAACTATTTCACAAGCCTTTAGTGGGGAAAAGGCCTGGTGATATTCTAAAAAAAAAAATAAAACAAACCCCGGCAATGAGAATCCTGCAGAGCAAAACATTCCTCTTCACAGCTGGTTATGGGATGGCACAGCATCGGGCAATGTCTCCCTCCGTTGTGTGGGGGGTCACCAGGAGTCAGAACCAAGCAAATGCTGCCATTGACTACAAGTCTGGGTCAAACCGTGAAAAGGACGTCAAACTTCGGTGTGTTTCAAAACAAATGGAAGAGAGGTGTTTTGGGTTTGTTTTTTTAAGAAAAGGCTATTCCTTTAAATTTAGGGAAGCTCTCCTTGCCAGAAGGCAGGAGCGTGGTGGTAGGGAGTGCAGGAATTGTGGCAAGCTTTGGAGTGGACTGCTTTTCCGGGAATGTGTTTGACGTGCAGGTTTGCTCTGTCCCTGGAGTGAGACTAGCCAGCCTGGGCCTAGGGTTTGAACCAGGAGGCGGCCTTAAGCCCAAAGGGCCCTCGGGCCAGGTTCAAATTGTCTTCCTGTCAAACATTCTTCTAGGTGGTATAGCACTGGTCTGTGTGTT